AGTTAAAAATGACTCATTCTTCAAAAGATAATGATAGTTGGTTCACTATAAGTGAGAATAACACCCATCATACTACATTAATAAAAATACGGTTATTTGCTTGGATGATGACAACTGCGAGGGTTCAAAATGGGTTTTTTAGGAATAAAATGGATGAAAATGGCATAATCACAAGAAATAAAGCCAGATTAGTTGCTAAAGGGTACAATCGGCAAGAAGGGATAGACTTTGATGAAACATATGCTCCGAGTTGCTAGGTTAGAAGGCTGTTAGATTACTTGCTTGCCTATGCTTCTATTAAAAATTTCGAGGTTGTTCCAAATGGATGTCAAAAGCGCTTTCTTGAATGGATATTTGAATGAAGAAGTTTTTGTCACTCAACCACACGGGTTTGAAGATCATATTCATCCAGAATATGTTTACGAGGTTGAAGAAAGCCCTGTATGGTCTCAAACCAGCCCCAAGGCAATGGTATGAAAGGTTAAGTAACTTTCTTATCTCAAAGGGCTATCATAGAGGTTTGGTGGACAAAACTTTGTTTCTAAAGAAAGCTGAATAATGATATAATTCCGGTTCAAGTTTATGTTGATGACATCATATTTGGTGCTACTAATGAGACTTTATGCAAAGATTTCATGAAAGACATGCGGGGTGAGTTTGAGATGTCAATGATGGGGGAACTTAATTACTTCCTTGGACTGCAAGTCAAACAACTTCAAGAAGGAAGTCTTCTTCATCAATCAAAGTCTTGCACTGAACTGCTGAAGAGATTTGAAATGGAACAACTGCAAGGAGGCATCAACACCTATGTCAACAAACTGCTACCTTGATTCGATGAAAAAGGGAAATCTGTTGATGAAACCAAATATAGGGGGCTTATTGGTTCTTTACTTGTATTTAACAGCTATGCAGACCGACATTATGTTCGATGTATGCGTATGTGTGCCAGGTTCAATCTGCACCAAAGAGTCTCACCTTCTGCTGCAAAAGGATCCTCAAGTATCTCAAGGGGACTTTAAATGTTGGGTTATGGTATCCAGGTGAGTCTAAAGCTGAATTTAGTTGGATATTCGACTACGATTTTGCGGTGCTGTAAACTTGACGGAAAGAGTACCAGTGGCACTTGTCATCTCCTAGGAAGCGAGTCTAATCTCTTGGCACGACAAGAAGCGATCATGTGTTGCATTGTCTACAGCTGAAGCGAGAATATATTCTTCTTGGCGATTCTTGTGCTCGATCTCTCGGATAAAACAGCGACTTGAGGATTACGGTTTAACCCTCGGGAAAATCCCTCTCTTATGCGATAATACCGGTGCCATAATGCTAACTAAAAATCCAATTCAACATTCTAGAACAAAGCATATAGAAATAAGGCATCATTTTATTAGAGATCATATTCTAAAAGGTGATTGCGAGATCTTTTTTATAGAAACTGAAAAACAACTAGCGAGATATTTTCACAAAACCCCTTGCTAGTGATAGGTTTTTCAAAATTCGCACTGAGTTAGGCATCTTAGACGCATCAAACATTACTTAGAGTGCAAGTCTGGTTGTTTTAGTCAATAATAACACCTTTTAATCGGTTAAATAAACTAAACAACAAATTGCATTACTTTTTTAATCGATTTAAAGTTGAAATAATCGATTGTTTTTTTCTAAAAATTCATGTTTTCAAAATCTTAAATGTTTTAATCGATTAAACCTTTCTTTCAATCGATTAAAATCATTTACCAAGAACATTTTAACCGATTATACTCTGTTTTTAATCGATTTTTATTACGGGAAGAAAGATTAAAGGCTTTAGTTAATGGTGCATTCCTGTAACATGCTACTAAAGCGTGATTCCCTTATCTTTACACGTGTTAATTGTATTCATTACAAACGTGTTAATGGAGATAAGTTTGAATCAACTTTAATTGATTCTTTTCATGAGTGAAATATTGATTCACTTTGTATTTTCAAAAATTTGAGCATATTTTTTCGAAACCTTACATTTTATTCTTTTCTCTTCTATTCCCTATTTTTGATGAAGTCAAAAGGGGAGAAATAGTTGCATCACTTTAAGATAAATTTAAGTGCAACAATTTAGGGGGAGAAATAAGTTTTAGGGGAGAAACAAAACTTTATTACATTCTTATATTTCTCACCTAACTGCATTATCAAGTGACTTATTTTGCGAGATTGTTTTTTCAAAATGGTGTTTGTCTTCATCAAATAGGGGAGACTGAAAGTGATCCTAGCAAAGATCTCATTGATTTGATGAAGTCAAAGATAAAGTCAAGGGTCAACTCTGCAGCGAGTCAAACAAGTCACTCGAGAACAATGGAGTTGAAGACTTAGTGTGTCTTAACGAAAGCTTAGGTAAAACCACTTTACCTTTTCCATTTGCACAAAGCTTCTTCATTCATTTTGCAAAATGCCTCAAAAACAGTTTTTAACAAATCAAAAACAAAAGCATTTTGGCAAAGAATTTTCTTAAACAAGTTATTAAGCTGATAAAGGTTTGAAAGAATCAATTTAAAACACTTAGAATGTTTTAAAAAGTGTTTTTACAATATTTTAATCGATACAAACTTCTTTTAATCGATTAAAACTCTTTATGACCGATTAGAATTCGAATATAATAGGTCAGAATGCAATATAATCGATCAGATCTTAAATATGAGCGATTAGAATTATTTTAATCGATTAAAACACGTTTCAATCGATTAAAATCACTTTGGATGTCAGTATGATCGATCAGAATGAGATTATGACCGATCGAGTTGGATATGATCGATCAGAATTGAATTATGACCGATCAGATCTATTTCAATCGATTAAAACGTATTTCAATCGATTAAAATAACTTAGAAAATCTTTTCAATCGATTAAAACAAACTTTCAATCGATTAAAATGACTTGAAAATATATGTGCAGTTTTTCAATCGATTGAAACGACTTTATATCAGCTAAAATAACTTGGAAAGTTTTATAAGAAGGTTTTTAAACAAATCAATCGATTAATACGTGATTCAATCGATTGTTTTATACTTAGAAAATGTTTGTAAAACGTTTTAAGCGATAAAAACGTGGTCGTATCAACTAAAACATTTTTCGTTAAAGATCAAGAACGCATTAATGGGTTGAAAGGACTTTTAACAGATTGTAACGGCTATTTCAATAGATTAAAACAAACTTTCAACAGATTAATTAATGCAGCAGATTTGAAAATACTCTTTTATAAACAGATTTGCTTGAAACTTTGAGATATAGATCATACATCGGTTTTACACAATTCAAGCAATCAATACAAGCAACTATTAGCATTTTTCAAGAAAGATACACAAGCTGTTTTTGTGAACTTCTTTTGAAATCTTTCTTGAGGCACTTTGCATCCTTGAAGAAGAAACTTATCGTGGATTGGTGTAATCCGGTTTGAGCTTTCTAAGTCTCTTCTTTGTAAATTCTTTTTCATTACTTTGTATTGTGTTGTACCTGGAATTTGGGTACAAGTTTTCTGCAATTGTTGTAGAAAGTTGCCAAGAACTGGAATTTGGTTCTTGGTGGAAAGGTTAAAGCAAGAGCTGGAATTTGGTTCTTGTGTGTGGTGCCTGGAATTTGGGCACTTTGGTTTCTCTGCTAGTTGGAATTTGGTTGCGAGAGGTTTCCAAGAGCTGGAATTTGGTTCTTGGTGGAGAGTTAGAATAGGTGTAAGAGGGAGAGTCTGTAAAACATCTATTCTAGTGGAACCCATTGGAATTTAGGTAGAGTCCGGACGTAGCCCTGGTATTGGGTGAACCAGGTATAAAATTACCGGTGAAATCTTTCCTAACCTTTCTCTCTTTAATTTCTGCTGCTGCACTTAAACTGTTTGATTGCTTTGTGATTTGTGAATTGATAAGTAATCTTAATTTTCGGATTAGATAATCTGTGTATTGCGAAAAACTTTCAAAAATCAATTCACCCCCCCTCTTGATTTAAAACTACTTTTCTAACAAAATTTTGTACTCAAGTTCTATGTTTTGGTTTTTCATCAAAATTCATTTATATAGGAAAATAGCATTGAACATGTTAGAATAAAAATAAAAAATGGTCGTTGCTTAGTAATTAATTCGTAAAGAAAAATCAGGATGTTTTCAACAGCTATAATCTTTCAAAAATGGATATATTTTTCAAATTTGGAGTGTCATAATCGATTATGTTACTTGTATAATCGATTATGATAGAGGCAAAATTGATTTTTCATTTCTGATGCACCATAATCGATTATGATACTTATATAATCGATTATGATACTTATATAATCAATTATAATAGAGAACTTTTGAAAAAAATTGCTTCATTTGCTTGACATAATCGATTATGAACCTCTCATAATCGATTATGACAGATGAAAAATGTCATAATACGAAATTGTTTCACACTTGTGTTTTGGAGGCTTATGCATAATACCACTTTATCGGCTTGTACCTCCATATTCAGTATTCTAAGATTCTATCTAGTCTCTGGGCTTGCATAAATCTTGAATAGTGTTGACTTGAATCTTCATCAAAATCATCTTCTTCAGAATGTAGAGAAATGCTTCACATTGTTATCAATCTCCCTCATAGTGCTTTCAATTTTTGTTCACTAAATTGTGATCGGTGTCAACATTATGATGTAATGTCATAAGTGTTTCAACATGCAAACCATTTAAATTCAATTTATATAAATCATCACAAAGAATATCAATACTAATAAGATGATTATGCTTAAATAAAGTAAAACATCTATTACCAAAAATAAAAGTATATATAGTAACACAAATTTAGATAATGAAACCAAACTTCTAGATAAACTAAATGCATAAAGTGTTTCTAATAAATTTAAATGATGACCACTAGAACTTTCACTCTATTCCCCTTGAATACAAGCTTTTCATTTTCTCTTATGGTTTGGATTGTAAGAAATTCTTTTCATTTTCCTTCTTGGTAGAGAAAGCCAAGATTGTAGAGAGGCTGGAAAGTTATGATAACAAGGTGGCTAGATCATTGGTTGGAGGACCTTCTAATGGGAAAGCCAAGACTAAGTAAAGGAAGCCATATTTTAGACCACAATCGAGTGAAAGAGGTCCAACCCATTCTCAACCGTAGTAGTATCAGCCATCTAGAGAGTACCAATGTTACAAGCATGGTGGAAATTACCTTATCAAATGTTTTATTAATAGGGCCTAGAGCGAAGATGTTATGTTTGTCAACGAGACATATACTAGAGAGTAGGGGAGTGACTTCTCCTAGTAGTTCCTAACAAGCTAAAAGAGAGGACAAATGGTCACAAGTAACAGGGAGTGTTTTTGCCATGACTAAAGTAGAGGCAACACAATTAGACAACTTGGTGCAAGGTGTGTTTACTGTAAATGGTAAAATATCTTAGAGTATTGTTTGATTCTATAGTGACATACTCCTTTGTGTCAATTGTTTGTGTAAAGAAGTTAGGCTTGTTAGTTGTTTAAGTTGCTAGTTTCTACACTAGCTTCAGGAATGGTGTCAACTTCTTTAGTGTGTATTGGGTTATTGTGGTGATTGAAAGACTCATATTTAAGGTTAACTTAATTTACTTATCCTTTTAGGACTTAAACATGATCTTGGGAATGGATTGGTAAATCACCAATCACATTCTCATAAACTGTGGGCAATAGAGAATTGTCTTTCATAATCCTTTGAAATGAGAGTTATTGACAACACAATAAACATGGAGTGAGATGAAGGAAGGAGCAAGGTGTTTTGTTATTCTAACACATATGGTGAGAGTTAGATATGTGATGTACTAGTGGTGAGGGAGTTTCAAGATGTTTTCTCCAAGAGAGAGGGATAATTTTCTCTTGACATGGTACAAGGGACAAGGCCAATGTCAATGACTCCACATAGGACGACTCCGACTAAGTTAGTGGAGTTGAAGTGGAGGAATTGTTAGAGAAGTAGTGTATCAAACTTAGCGTGTCACCGTGGGAAATTTAGTCTTGTTAGTGAGGAAGAAAAATGAGTGATCCAGATTGTGTGTGGATTAGTGGTAGTTGAATAAATTAACCATAAAAAACAAGTATCAATTATTGAGGATTGATGATATGATGACCAATAACATTGAGCAACAGTTTTCTCCAAGATAGACTTGAGGACTGGAGAGCATCATATCAATGTGAAGGCTAAAGATGTTCAGTAGACAATCTTTTGTTCTTGGTATGACCATTATGAGTATGTAGTGATGTCATTTGGAGTGACAAATGCCCCAACCCTGTTCATGGATTGCATGAATAAAATTTTTCATCCCTTATTGAACAAGTTTGTGTAGTCTTCATAGACGACATTCTTATTTATTTCATGACTCATAAGGAATTTGAAGAGCACTTGATGACAATGTTAGGTATTTTGAGGGAGAAGTATTCATATGTAAAATTGTCTAAATGTAAGTTCTAGTTAGCTACAGTGCAATTCTTGGGCATGTCATATCAGCCTAGGAGATTTTATTGGATCTAACTGAGGTGGAAATGATACTTTAGTTATTGAGATTAGAAGTTTTGTAAGCTTAACTAGCTATTACAAGAGGTTCATTAAAGAATTATCTAAGATTATGGCACCCTTAACGAAGTTAACCTATAACAAAGATTAGTCTTTTGCTTGAATGATTAAATGTGAGTAGAGTTTTCTAGATTTAAATTATAGATTGAGTAGTTCACTAATCTTGGTGCTTTCTAATATAGGGAAAACTTTTGAGGTTTATTATGAAACATTACACTAAGAGCTTGAATGTGTGAGCTTAAATGTGTATAGGTGTAAGAAAGAAGGGTGGTGGTTTATGCTTTTACGTAATTGAAGACTTTTGAAACGAATTACCTCATCACACTTTAGAACTAGTAAATAACGTGTACTTAAACATTATCTCTATGGTATTCAGATCTTTATATACAATGATGATAAGATTTTTTTTTTTTTATGAGAGGATAAAAGGATAAGAAACTTCCATCACAATTCATCTCATTTTATTATATAAATATGTTTAATGTGTCATTTTGATAAAAAGTAATTAGCTAAAACAATATATCTTAAAATAAAGATAAATTATATTTTTAACTAAATTTTAGTTTGAACATTTTAATTAAATAATATCATGATTTGAATTATCTGACTACTATTATATAATTAATTCAAAGTTTTAATTAAACTCTATAAATATTAACATCATGTCCAACGTTAATAAAATTACTTGACTTAAATTTACTTAAATTGAAACTACTAACAAAATCTCTTGATTTGTCCATTAGGTTTTAAATATTTTTTATTTTAAAAAAACACATTTTAAGACATTAATCCGTTTATCTAGGATACACAATAAATAACTCAACTAATGACATGTTCAAAATATATTTGATTCTGGTGATCGAAACAACATGAACTTCAAAATGGAGAAAGAATGTTGTCATCTGAAACAAATTTCCATATAGACAAAGCCATTCATCAATGGGAATTTAGGTAATAAAGTATTTAAATTGAGAAAAATAAATGAAGTAACCTTCATAATTAAAATTAAACAATTATATGCTCAAATAGAGCCCACTGTAATTGTCATTTTTTCAGTACAGACTAATCTCAGTTAATCAATAAATTTTCTTGCTATGTTGTAATATAGTGATAAGATTTTTTTTTTTTTAGATATTTTGAGGATAATTTTATTAACAGTGTGACATTAGTTCATATAAACTTTATTTTATAGCCGATGAAATATTTATAAAATAAAAATACTCCATTTCAAAGTTTAAAAAATCATATTAATTAGTATTTTAAATTCTAATTGAAATATTAAATCTTTCCTTCAAATCTTAATATATATATATATATATATATATATATATATATATATATATATATTAATATAAAAAAAATCATGTAGGCTGATCTAAAAAGTAAACAACTTATGTGAATTTTGTTGAGGATTTTTTAATATATATGAAGTAAGAATATTTTAGAAAAATCTAAGATTCCTGAAAGTAATTTTTAATTTTTCCATGAATAGGTTTGAGAAATCAATGACTCATAAATATTTAAATTATAATTAGTGAGAATTCACAAATTTTTGTAAAATAATAACAAGTAATTTTTAAAACATAAAATTTACCAAAATATTAAAAATAAAAACTATATAATAATACGTACATAAAAATGATTATAGAATAAATATCATGTATATATGTTAATATAAATTACGTTTCTCACCTTTGAAAATAAGTTGGAATAGACATATTTATGACAGTTTAAAAAACATTATTTATGAAAATAGTTTTCACATACCAAACACCACTGAAGATCATTAAATGTAAAATGAGATGAGCAGAGCATTATGCTATAAATGAGAAGCGTTTTGAGTTTGCCCTATGACGTGGTGAGGCTTTTGTGAAGGCCGTGGCTCCATGGATCGAACCAGAACCCGGTTCAAATCTCCGCCATGACAGTTCTTCCCATTTTGCCACGTAAGATTACACGTGGCATTTTTTCTGTGACAATTTTGTCCTCCCTCCTTTTAAATACTCTGTTCTGCTTTCTCCGTATTTCTTTATCCTCTCGTCTCGCCGTCTCCTGCACGAAATCTATAACTTCACGCAACCGAACACATTCTTTCCTCAAAACTAACCTTGTCGCCGGCAACATACTCATCGGAAAATTCAACAGCCGTGAAATGTGGTGGCTGATGATCTTGTATGAAAACTCTAACCGTATCTTGTAGTAGTACAAATACAATTACAAACCCTAAGCAAAAGCAACTTTACTTAGCATAGTTTTCAAGTTATTCCATGCTTCTTCTAGTAAGCCCCAGGCTGATTATTATCTCTATATAATAATAATAATAATAAGGGGAAGAAGAGAAAATTAAAGAGACTTACTCTGATTTCAGCGTCTACAGTTTTGGCAGAACATTTATTTTTATTTTTTTTATTTTTATTTTTTCTGACTTTCTTCCTCTCCTAATTTTTTTTAAATTGAAGGCGGAGAATCGAGAAAGGTGATTGCGAGAACTTCAGAGGTTTAATTACTTTTTACACAGTTCTGCCAGTTCTGAGTTCTTGAGTTCTAACTCCTATAAAAAATTAAGCTCAAGAATCGGAAATGGAAAAGATGAACAAGTGAGAGAGCCGCTCTGAGAGTTTGTCGCCGTCATCGTGATGCCTTTCCCAATGAAAATTCAACCAATCGATTCTCAGGTGCCGTCCGATGTGACGCGACTCGAGATGGCCAAGCCGGTTGTGAAATCGCGCCTGAAGCGGCTTATCGAGCGCCAATTCTCCGGTGTTCTGAGAAATTCAGCGCCGGAGAAGATCGCCGGGGGAGAGGAACCACATAACGGCTCCAGTGATTTTGAGCCGAGCTCTGCGTGTTTGGCGAAAATGGTGCAGAGTTTCATAGAGGAGAGTCATGAGAAGCACACCGCATCACACCGCAACCGCTGTAACTGCTTCAATCGGAACTACGACGATAGTTCTGACGAAGACTCAAACTCGCTCGGTGGTTTCGGTGACTCTAATTACTCTTCCGGCGGCGAGGCATGCGAAACTCTCAAGGTAAACTGTGGTTTAGAGGGTTGTATTTGAAAATGGAAGCAGAGATAATAAAAAGTCTGAAATGCGTTTTTATGTTTTGGACAGGGTTTGGTGGCATGTGCGAACTTGGGGGAGAGAAATTTGCTTGCGGACACTGCAAAGATAGTTGAGAAGAATAAGATATCCAAGCGGAAGGACACTTTCTGCAGAAATATAGTAACCGAAGGATTGTTAATCCTTGGATACGATGCGTCGATTTGCAAATCTCGTTGGGAAAAATCTCCCTCTTATCCATCGGGTACTTTTTATCTCCCCTTTTATCCATTGGAACTTCTTTTTTTAATTCTGGAATCTATGAATTTTGTTTAAGAAGAGTTTAATTGCGTGAAAATTAAATCAGCTTAAAATTTTGTTATACTCAAGGATTTAATTTAATTGACTGATTTCGTGCAGGGGAATACGAATACATAGATGTGAACATGGAAAAAGATAGAATTCTAATTGATATTGATTTTAGGTCAGAATTTGAAATTGCTCGATCCACCAAGGCGTATAAGACTATTCTCCATAACCTTCCTTTCATATTTGTGGGCACGTGCGATCGGTTGCAGAACATCGTGACTATCGTGTCGGAGGCTGCGAAGCAGAGTCTAAAAAAGAAGGGAATGCACGTGCCGCCGTGGAGAAGAGCTGAATATGTGAAAGCGAAGTGGCTCTCCCCTTACACGCGAATTACTTCCTTCAAAGAAGAGAAGGAAGAACAACAGTTTTTGAAACAAAAGTTAGTCACTTTTGAAACTGAAGATTCAGGCGAAGATAACACCGCGGTGATCGAATGGAAGCCACCGGAGCTGAAGCCCAAGGGCTCACCTTCTGGTGTCAAGGTAGTGACTGGTTTGACAGTGGTTTTTGAGGATGATAACCCATAAAATTTTGTTTTTTTTTATTCGGCTTTTTTTTTTTTTTCTTCAATTGGCTGAGTATTAAAATCTATATGACTATAACTGTAACAGTGGTCTGTGACTTCTATCCCCTTCTGTTTTTTTTTTCCTTATGTAAGGGATGGATTTTACTAATATCAATGAATAAAATAAAGTTGAAATATAGTAGTGATATATTGATGAATTTTCTATGATCATGTTTGGTTATAATTATCTATTATTCAATTTCTGAGTTTGGTGCGAAGTAGGCTTGAATTCTGGTTTGTCTTCTTTACTTAAAAAGAAAAAAAAATATTAGTTGATGATGAAGAAATTTGTTAGTGCAGTTTTAGGTGCCTTGGTGAAGAAATAATAATAATGGAATCATACGTTACCATGGTTTGTTTACCTTCCCCCAAATCCATAGTTTACGCAATGCAATTTTGAATCCTTTAGCACTTCAGATTAGCTTAGTTGGCCTTTTCTTTGTGTTTCTTGTGTTGCAGTTTGGCATGCTTCTTTAGTTCAAAAGGAAAAAAATATACAGCCACAATAAGTATAAAATAATGTTTACAATATTAATCTTCCATTAATTTTTGTGGCCGATTTAATCATCTTCCATGTTCATCATAATTAACATACATGCACCAAAATTGTTTCTTTTTTGGTGAAAAAAAAATTAAAATCATTTAAACAAAGTTACACACAATCACTTTTTCATGATTACAAATATTACTTTAGAACCACTCACTTGTTTCAAACTTATGTTACACTAATCAGGGTGTGTGTATTTTGTATGCCTATTATATTAAAATATTATAATTTCAAAAAATATAAGAATGATATTTTTAACTATTAATTTAAAAAAATATAAAAAATAAATATATTGCAATAATGATTTTGAAATAATTATGAGAGGGTCTCTTTAGTAATTCTATTATATATATAAAAAAATTGTTTTATTTTATTACACTAAACTAACTTTTAGAATATTAAAAATAAATAATTTTATAAAAATGATTTCCAACATTTACCATCGTTTACAGTGGAAACATAGTATGTTATTTTTTTCCTGGAAAAAGTTATATCATTATAAAATTTTTATTTAATAAATAATAAAATTATTATAAAAAATGTATTTTTAAATGATAAATATAGTAATTAAAATAATATTTGGCTTCATTATAAATCAATTGAAACATTATTTTTATAATGTCAAAATTCATATAATATCATTCTATCTTTATTTTTTTATTAAGTTAATTATTTTGTATTTGTATTTTTCTTTTTATGGTCAGAAATTTTAATCATACTTACATTGTAAATAATTTTAGTGTGAGAGGATACTTTATTTTTACTCTTTTTTTTCACTCTACTCTTTTCTTTTCTTCCCAATCTTATTATGTTTGTACATAGTGTTTTTATTCTTTATTTGAATGAGAGAATAGATTATAAAAAGAAAATAGAAAAATAAATAAATGAAGAAAAAAATTATTGAAAATAAATTTATTTATATTAAAAAATTTAAATTTAAATTAATTAAATTATCATTTTTAGCTATTATTATTTTTTAACGTATTTTAAAAAATATCATATAATCAATTTTATATTTTAAATAATTAATTATATTATATATTGTTATAAAATGATTAATTTTTTCTTGAAAAATTAAGCTCTGAATGCATTTCCTCTAGGCTTGGACTTTATTTTGTCGTTTGCGTGCCTCGTACCAAATCAAGTATTGTTTTCAGACTTGAAACAAGATGGTGAGTATGTATTATTTTACTACAATTGCTGAAAAATTTGTGCTGTGTATTTTAGCCGCGTAATAGTTAATCTACTTATAATAATTAATTCCAGGTGGAGCATACCATAAACTTATCTTGCATAAAAAGAACAAGAAACTCTGTGTATTCATTTTTTTCGATAAAAAATAATAGTGTTGGTGGTTGCGCTACTCTGACACACAAAAGTAGAATATTAAGTATAAAACTGACAATTATGTTTTGGTTGACACCTCTCAACTATTATTTTTATATAAGTTATCCGAACAAAGTTTTCTTACAAATATAATTTCTTTTGTTATTTTTTAATAAAATATTTATTCAGAATTTAAAAATTTAATTGGACTAAACTTAATAAAATAATATTTTTAAAATATAATAAATATATATTAAATTTATTAATAATAATTTTTAAAAACAAAACAATATATCAGTAATATAATATAAAATATATTAAAAAATAAAACAAAGTAATTACTATTTAAAATTAATATGACTAATATGATATAAATAAAGAAAAATATTAAAATATTATATTTTTTTATAAAAAAATTATATTTAAAAAATAATAATTTTTACTTTTACTTTTATTTTAAATTGATTTCAACCTAAAATTCAACTACTTTTCCCAATTTTATACCTATTTAATTAAAATTCAAATAACTAATTAAATTTTACACTAATTTCTAATAGGATTGGTTAAATCAAACCGTAATTTAATTTTCTAAACAATATTAATATTATTGTCATATATCATCGAAATTTCATGAGTGAAATTTTCTATAGTATTTGTAAATTACATTATATGTTGAGAGATAGAAATAAAAAACAATAATTAGATGGTGCAACTAAAAAATATACCTAAATATAAATAATTTAAAAATAAATAAATATCATTTTTGAAATAGGTGGTAAGTACAATTATGGAGTTTGTTGGAGATGACTGGCCATTTTTAAAAAATCATTAATTACTTACTGAAAGAAGCATCTCACCTACCCTATTTATCACATTTAATTGGATATTTTTAGGTGATTTTCAAATATTATATAATATAAATAATAGTTTACTTATTATACCATCTGTGTATAAATAATTATATTATATATATATATATATATATATATATATATATATATATATGAATTCACAATTATCAGTAAATACTAATTATTGTCATATATTATAATTTGAGTAATATACATAAAATTTATGACATTATCTTAATTTTATTAACTCTAATGATTATAATCTAAACATTGTGACAAATATCCAAATTTGACTTACACTAAACTTTTTCTCATACATACTAATTTTTTTAGAGAAAATAGGATAATAATAATTTATTTAGATTAATTTGTATAAAGTAGCCAATTAATTAAATTAATTTTTTTATTCATTTAATTATAAAAAAGTAACAATAATTTATTTTAATTTAAAATTTAAAAACTATATATATATATATATATATTGAATAATTATCTAAATCAAACATAAAATTAAATATTATTTAATTCATTTTTTTATTTAATTTAACATAAATTAAAAATTATTCAAATTAATATTTATTGTTCAATTTAAATATTTTATTATAAAATTTTAAATAACTTTTACATAAAAGGAAAAAATAAATTACAATAAAAAGTCATATTAAAAAAAGGAAAGTACCATTATTTCTTTAAAATTATGTTCATATAGAATATTTTATATATAAAAAAAACTATAGATAAACAAACAACATTAAAACATTAATGTCACACTGAAAATTTTCTAAATATTTAACAAGTAAAGTTTTAAATTTTATTTCACTAGACCATTTATATTTTAAGTTTATTCTAACTGATGTTTACATAAATCATTTTTAAATTTGTATATTAAATATTTTTAAAATCTAAAATTATATTTTTATTATAAATTTAAGTATTAATATAAAAATTATGCATATATTATATTTATATGGTATTATTATATAATGATAAATATATTTAATAAAAAATTAAAATATTTAAATTTTTTTAATTGAAACCATAAGAATACTAATAAAATCATAAGTTTTGACAAGTCACATGTCTTATTTTTAGTTTAGTATAAATAATATTAAATTTTCTTAGTACTACTAAAAATTGGAATTATTATTGTTGGAAGAAGGAAGTTGTACTATAAAGCTTATTTTTAAAAAAGAAAAATATCAATTATTGTTATTTTTAAAATAAATAAATTTCATCAATTTTATTATATTATTTAAAAAATATCTATATGTATTAAGATAATCATGTATGTTTACAAGATATTCACAGAAATTAATACCTTAACGTGCCAAGCTATTTATAACAGACACGCCACACAAATACCTAAACTCCATTTGTAAATATAATTAAATCAATATTATAAGATGTTTTTTTATTAGATAATTTAATAACATTAAAAAAATTATATTAATTTACTTTAGAAAAAAATGATGAGACTAAATTATCACTTAAAATGATAATATAACAAAATAAAAAAAAAGTGATGAAAAAAATATATTTAAGCTATTACAATCTATACAAATTTTGTCTTTGTCATGCAAATTTTGACCATTAATCTTGGAGGACCCAAATAATATATTATTAATAAATAATAAATAAATATAAAAAGAAAAAAGAAGATAAAAGTGTGAAAAGATAAACTTTTAAATATATACTTAAATATATTAAATAATCATTAAGTTTGAGGAAGATAAAATCGTAAATTTTATAAGAGTTACAAAACTGGTAGAAGTGCTGAGAGGATAAAATTATAAATATAAAAGTAAATATATTAAATATTCATTAAGTTTGTGGTCAAAATCATAAATTACAGGAGTTACAAAACTTTAGAAAGTTACAAAACTTTAAACAGTCACAAAACTTTAGAGTCACGTTCCCTTAACCTCCGATAGGAGAATTATTTTTGTACAAAGATAGGAGAAGCCTGATCAGTGAGATAGAAACATGAGCCAAAGGGACATCATGATCCATTCATGTCATCAAATTTTAAATAATAAAATTTTAAATTCATAATAATTTTATTTTGTTTTTATATTTAAAATTTAAAAGAATGATTCAGAGTGATAATTTTATTATATCAAATTTTACAAACCAAATTGTTAAGATAACTTTTCGTATAGTTACAGTGATGAAATTTAATATAGGTAAAAATATTTCTAAATGTAAAAGATTTTAAATCTTGGTACTTCATGTTAATTC